TTATTGATTTTTTTCATGTGGCAAACACATTTATCTCTTTGTTAATGAAAACGTATCTAGGAAATAGTAAGATTGATTTATGGAGAAAGGTATGGGGAGGGAGGTGGTGCCGAGCTGGGTAGACTGTCCTTGGCCACAGCTGAAGGAGATGTTGTGGGACTTCCAGAAAGTGCGTGTGCATGTTTATTTGGAGGAAACTGCTCTCAGAGACAAAGGATGTTTGCAAAGGCTTTCTGCAAGGCAGTCTGGTGTGTTTGTAGGAGTCAGCTATGCTTTCAGCTAGGGGAGACTCCCAAAATTAGCATCCGGGCCAGGAGATATAGAGAAGCATCTCCCATTGGTCTCAAACTCAGTTTCCATAGGGCACAACTGAGTGAAAGATACGGGCTCAAAAGTAGGCTTGGAGGAAAGGCTAAGCCTTGCCATGGAAGGATTCCAACACTACAGGTTGTTAAAAGATGAAAAAGTAAGGAGATAGGCAGTAGACTACAGGAAGCCAGGGTCAGCTGCAGAATGTGCATGCTTGCAATGTGACACTTCATTAGTGAATGCAAACCCAGACAGGGCAGCCTGGGGAAGATTCTTTTAAAGACTTCCTTCCATAATACAGGCAATGGTGTTATAAAAGCATATGGTGTCACGTGGTAGCTACACTTGTGAGCATAGCCTAATGCATAGGGTTTTTGAATCACTATGTCATACACCTGAAACTAATGTAACATTGTGCGTCAACTATACTTCAATAAAAATAAATAAATAAAGACATCCCGCCCCAGAAGCTTCCCTCACCCAGGCACTTACTAATTTCTCAGGAAAAACCTCTGCTAGGCAGTTCCCATCATGGTTCACAAAAACAAGGGTCCATATGGCCTGCCAAAGGAGTTTTGGTGTCTCCATGCTTACTCTGGATTCAGAATTCCTCAGGTTGTCACTCTAGGCATCCTGGGTACCTAAAATGTGTACTGTTCACAAGGCAACCCATTGGATGCTGATAAAGAGGCATTTGCATGTACCTTGGCAAAAACATGGAAGCAAGAAACTCGACCACAGGCCTCTTACTAGGAAGGCAAATGGGCAGATGCCAAGACAGGCTTCGATCTCATGAACCTAGAAAAGTCTAAAAAAGCTGCCTGTCCTCGGTTGCTTCCATCCAGGTGTGACCATCCCAGTCCCAACCCTGATTAGTCCTTTATACTGTTCTCTGTTTTGACCATTTGAACTGCTTATTGACAGCCTAACAGAAGGGCCACCATTTTTAAACATTGACCATGCACCAGACCTATGTCTGTGATCCTTAATCTTCACCAAATTTGTGAGAAAAGTATGAGTGAATAAAACTAGGGTCTCAGTAGGTGATTCTGAAACCTGCACATGCACCACACTCACCTGGAGGGCTGCAAAAGTATATAGATTGCTGAGTACCACCCCTAAGTTTCTGATTCAGTAGTACTGGGGTAGGCCCAAGAACTTGCATTTCTTCAAGGGCCCTGGGTGATGCTGATGCTGTGACTCTGAGGACCATTCTTCGAGAACTACTGGTCTACCTCAAACAGCTAAGGTATCCACAGGCAGGATTCACACCCATATCTGTATGATTCCAACACTGCATTGTGTTAGCTGATATGAATTGCCCCATGGTGTGTGTTCCAGATGGACCACCAGGGCCTTCTCCAGTCATATCTTGTCTTAATGGAACACCTTACCCCTTGATTCTCCATCTAGCTACCTCTACCCATCTTTCATGGCTCAGTTAACATTTTCTCTTCTACGAAGCCTTTCCTTAGCTCTGGCCATAGCCAGCTGCATCTCCCCTTTGCTTCCAGGGTCCCCCATGCAGAGCTCTATGTCAGCCCTCTCATGTTGTTTAGTGACTACTGTTTTACTCCTCTGACCATTCTCCCATCCCTCACTGTGAACCCCATGAGGATGCCTGCCATTCATTCCTTGCTGTGTGTGCCACGGTGCCTTACCAAGTGGCTATTCAGCAGCTGTTGGTGGGACAACTGCTTGAATGACTCTAACCAGTTGTCAGCATACATGACTGAGGTTTATAGAGATAGCACCAGTGATGGGCAGATCTTCATCTCTCTGTGTTGAGGGTGCAGGGACACTTTCTAGAAGTCATTGCTGAAGAGACTACTTTGAGAAACATGCTAAATTAAGTGTGTTAGTAATGCCTTCTCCAAGCTAAGCATCCCTTGCTTGTTCAGATGGGTGTGCTATCTGATGTGCACATCTGTCTTTCCCTGACTGCCAGTGTTGGCTCGGAGCCTGGTTGGCCCATTGCTCCTATACTCTTTCATTCCTCCCCCTTTCAAAACTGATGAGAGGATGAGTGCCCCAAGGAAATAACGGCTTTGGTGTATGAAGAGTGGAGTCCTCCTGCCTAAACCTCTGAATGTTTTGATAGTGTTATTTACACAGAAGTATGGTGGAAGTACCTACTGTGTGCTGGGCATGTTAGTGAGCTTGGAAACTTTCCTTGAAAGAGCGTGTGTGCATCTGAGATAGGAGAGATCCCTCTGCATGGACTCATGGCTATGAAAGATGATATATGGAGGCCATGGGGCTGAGCCATGAGGCTGGCACAGCAAAAGGAGGTGGTGTTTGGGGGCGGGAGCAGTGAGGTCTACTGGGACAGAAATGGACATGAAGCCATAAACATTTGTGCTGCCTACTTGTCATCCAGAGATGATCCCCGAGCCTCTGGCCAGGGGCACCGTCATGAATAAATACTAAGAGGCGAGAGGAAATCTCCATTTCAAATGTGGGGATGGAACAGTAGTGCTGAGCTCCTTGGCAGTTACGCATTCATTCCATACTCATGGAAACTGCAGTAATTTAGAGCAGTTCAGTATTTAGACTCAACTGTGTAATTCATCTTGATGTTTCCCATTCATCAAAGCCTTGTGTTTGTTTGTATTACCATGAGAAAAATAAAAAACGTGGGAAAAAAGATCCCCCCTTCCTTTCATTACAGGCAAATTATGACAGAGTTACAACCCTTGGGGCCCTTCAAGCAAAGGAACATCTTGCTTCAATTAGATATAAATAATGAACAATAATTAGAAAGATTTCTTCATCGAATTTGTTATTTTGTGTTTCCTTTCATCTGTAATGTATTGAAACAAACACTGAGCTCTGTTTCTGGGCCATGTAGCAGGGCCTAAAGGAACTCCATGGAGTGCATCTCCAAAGCAGGAAGAAGCACCCATTTTTGGCTCCTCTCTGTGCATGTTGTGAAGACTGGTGTCAGCTCTGGATCCAGTGCCATGGATGTAAAAAGGAGGCTGCCTCAGCTCTAGTCCTCCAGATTCCTATAGTCTGCCATGCAGAATAATTGCTACTAGTTACCGGCCACTCAGTTTGCGTCAGGCGCTGCTTTACAAGCTAAACACACATTATTTCACTTAGTCTTAACAGTAGCCCTCTGCCACAAGCTCTACTTCTAGCCCTGTTTTAAGTGTTTCGGAAACTGAGGCACAGAGAGTGTAGCTAACCTGCCAGTCCTGCAGTATCAGTGCTGGTGGAGCCAGGAGGTAAGGCAGGTGGTTGGACTCCAGAGATGTTGCTTCCTCTCACTCTGGGATGCTGTTCTCTCAAATCACAGTGATTTTATGCAGCCATAGAAACTGTACAAGGTATAGAGATGGCACAGGGAGGTGATGGCTTCACATGGGGAAGGGAGGCACCCAGATCTTCAGGGTGTCTGCAGAAGAATATCTGGTGGATGAGTGAGATAAACGGGTTCCAGGCTGAGGAAGCACCATGGTCTGGTGCCATAGATGGGGACTGTGTGGGATTTCTCATTTCAGCATTGGCTATGGAGTTGCATGGAGGCAGGGGCAGCAGCTGGAGATGAGACCAGAAGATGGAGGGTTGGGTAGATCAGGTCGAGAAGATGGGATCTCCTCGTGGAAACGGTGACTCATGGAGAAGTGGGGATGATGATCTTTGTTGTTACAAAGGAGAAACAGATTTCCAGAAGAGAAATAAAGAGTGATTTAGTTGGAGCCTGGAGAGAGAGGCTGGCTCACCACAAAGCATTTGGGGATTTTTTTTGCCAGTTTATTCTATATGTGGCATTCTCTCAACACACTGAACCAGGTGATGCTCACTTAAGGCAAGTGAGAGCTTCATGCCAATTGGTCCTTCCTGGTCTGACTATTTTCCTACCCCCAAGAAAGCCTCTCCTTGACCCCTAGCTCAGACATCTGCTGGTGGGCCTTCCCGATGCACTCCCCGCCTCCAACATGCACCTGACTTGAACTACCTGCTTCTCCTTCACGTACAATAAACCCAAGGCTCTTGGAAATGCTTTGATTTATCTCCACCATCTTTCAATAATACTTAGCACCTAAAAAATCAAGAGAATTCATATAAAAATCCAGTTTTCTTTCTTTATTAGAAGGCAAACTGAGGGGTAATGCTCAAAGTGCAACAATGGGTGGAACCCTGGAAGAGCCACAAGTTTTGGAGGGGACATGCATATTCACTGGCACCACCTGAGTGTGTGCCTCTGCCCACACCAGTTCTAAGTGTCAGGGACTAGTCATCATCATCCATGTTGCCAACATGTATTTCCTTCCTGTGCCGTAGACATTGGATTTGGAGACCTTTAGTATCCAGCCTCCCATGTTGCCCTGTCTCCTCTATTGTGATTGTCTGTCTATATATTTCTCTGGCTAGACTAGACACTCCTTGAGGGCAGGGATGATGTCTTATTCATCCTTTTGTCCCTTGATCTCAGCACAGGACCTGGTTTTAGGTATGCAATAACCTTACTGAATTAATCTACACTGAAGAAACATAACTGTGGTAGAATTAGGCCCTGATAAGTCATGCTCTGGGCTGAGGAACTCGAGCTATTTGAAGTTGGAAGTGATGAATGTGGATAGTGGGCCACAGCTGGTCTCGGTCTTCAGGAGGACTTTACAGCCCATTTATATCCCTGCAGTGTGCAACATGTACACATGCCTCACTGCCTTTTTGCATTTCAGGACATTCCAGGACCTCTCCAAACAAGTTGATATGTCTTACGGTACCGTCCGGGATTCTGCTGTGTATGAGTACTTCCGAGCCAAGGGCACCAACCCCCTGGAACAAGACAGCACATTTGCTGAACTCTGGAGGACCATCAGCAAGAACGGAGGGGCTGACAACTGTGTGTCCAGTCCTTCGGAAGGCATCAGGAAGGTAGGTGAGAGCTGGTCACCTAGCCACATGTGTGCTATAACTGGCTGTGGGCACCATTGTCTCCAAGGTAGGAGACACCTTCTCAGAGCAACTCCTTTGAGTAGCCCTGTCATCTACAGGGTGATTCATCTTCAGCCAGTTTGGTAGAAATTTCTCACAGGCATCTGAGTGTCCATAGGAGATGCACACATTCTTTAGGTAGATGCCCATTCTTGGCAACAGAAGCAGAGGGGCTGCTCATTAAGTATATTCTAAGTTTCCAAAGGGTCAGTGAAGAGCAGGCAGAGTAAGCCCCCACATATGGACCTCTTTCCTCATGGGCCCATAGGATGGTAGCCCTGAGGAGCCTGCCCATCCCAAGCGAGAATACTCAGCAAAAGCAGAAGCTGAGGACCAGTTAAGAGGAGGAGGGACTGAAGGGACAAGGTTGAGGAGAGGGTGAGCACACTGTGGGCAGCCGGGGGTTAGAAAGGGGAAGACCACACCTAAGGGGCAGAAGGCCCAGAGCAAGGGCTGGCCAGTTGGGCCTGTCTGTGGAACTGTGCTTTGGAAAAGAGGTGTTCTTAGGGGATGGTGGTGAGGACAGCAAACCTAGGATGGAGGCCATAGTGGGGGAAACTGACAGAGAGCAGGGAGCAAGGAAGCCAGGGCCAGAGAGAAGAAGGACATAGTAGCAACCGTCATTCTTCGGCAGTGGGTTAGACTCTGCTCATTTATTTCATTTAATTGCCCACAATGGCCTGAATTAATCATTGTTATCCCATTGTACAAGTGAGGATCAGAGATGTGGGGTCACACTCCTAGTTAGGTCCTGATGCCTGGGGTTCCAAGCTGTGTTTGGCATTTACCCACTGTATGCTGCAAAGCCCCTAGGGGTCAGTGAGGAGGAAGATGATAGGATGAAGGCAGGTGTCCTCTAAGGATGCTACTGGTGGTAGTGTCCTGCTATCCAGTGACCCTCACATGCGGTGCCTACTGTCCCGGAGGTCCCTAGTGAATGGTGTAAGAAAGACGTGCACCTGTGGCCAGGACTCCTGCCTCTGAGCAGACAGGCATTCCACCCTGCCTCAACATCTCCTCTTCTCCCTTCTGTTCTCACAGAGCAGTTAGCTCATGATGGCTTCTCCTTGTCATTTAGCCACGTGAAACAGTAGAAAGCGTCTGGGCTCTTAAGCCTGACACACTTGGGTGTGAATGCCAGCTCTGTACTAACCAACTATGTGAAGTGGAGCACACTGCTCTTCCTGTCTGGAACCTCTCAGAGTTGAGAGAGGCCCTTTGGAGGTCTCCTTAGAAAGGTAAAATATTCAGGGGTGCCTGGGTGGCTCAGTCAGTTAAGCATCTGACTTCGGCTCAGGTCATGATCTCATGGTTTGTGAGCTCGAGCCCCACGTCGGGCTCTGTGCTGACAGCTCAGCCTGCTTCGGATTCTGTGTCTCCCTCTCTCTCTGCTCCTCCCCCACTTATGCTCTGTCTCTCTCTCCTTCAAAAATAAATAAAAACATTTAAAAAAATTTTAAAAAGGTAAAATTTTCAAAATTATATGTTATGGTAAATTTTGAATGTTTACGTTGAACCAAGTGATACCTTAACAAAAATAATAGGCTGCAATGTAAATATGCTATCCCCATGCTTACGAGATTTATTAAAATCTCTTTGTTTTTAGTGATTTACAAAGGATGGCACTCTAACCTCGAGCTGCCAGGTCTTCCTTCATCCCTAATAAGTGACTCTCTGTGGTTGTAGGTGACCTCATTTGGAAGTAATGAATACAAAGTTGACTTAAGGCTTTTTATGAATGTAGGCCTGGGCCAAATGGCCTTTGAGTTTCCGCTCTCTGCTTTCTTTGTCTCTCATAGACAGCCAATACTCCCATCCATATAGCATTTTTATGAAGATTCATTGCAACAGTGCTACAAAAAGTACTTCTTAGAAAAGATGGCTACTTTTGACTTTATTAAACTTCCATTTGTCGTAAGACACTTTAAAGAAAATAAAAAGACAAGTCGCACACTGGGAGAGGATATTTACAACGTGTTATCACCAATGTAGGATTAATATCAAGATGAGAGGAAGAACTTTTATAAAAGTAAGAAAAATTCAAACAGTTTAACAGAAAAATGGGCATAAGACTTACACAGGCCTTTCACAGAAGAGGGAATGCATATGGCCAGTAATTATAGGAGGAGATATTCAAAATCATTAGTGGTCTAGGATATGCAAATCAAGAACATAAAGGTATATCATTTTACACCAATTAGACCTGTATAAAATGAGAGGTGGTGGAGAGGACGGGAGTAACAGGTGGTTAATTGCTGGTGGGAGTGTACCCAGTACAACCACTTTGGAAATGAGTTTGTTATTCTCTTATAAAACAGAACATCCACATACCCTATGACCCAGTGATACCACGCCTGTGTATCTACCCAAAGGAAACTCCTGCATGCACTTCAGAAGTGAGAAAGGTCAGGGTAGCATTGCTTATAGTCAGAACCCTGGAAACCATCCAAATGAGCTTTACCAAGATAAAAAAAAAAATATGACCTGCAATGAAATGAATGGACTACAGCTTCATGTAATAGCATGGATGAATCTTAGCAGAATAACATTGAGTCAGAAAAAGCGTTCAAGGCAGTTTCATATGGATCAATGAATAGAAAACAACATACGACTTAATACCCATGTAAAATGTATAAAACACACGCATACACACATCGAAAGTAATGATAAAATACAGAATTCATGATAGTGGTTCATATAGATGGGAGAGGCAGAGCAACAGGGAGGAGAAAAGCAAATGGTTGAATCGCAAGTCAAGGTCAGCGTTAGCTTTAGATTCACGGGGTTTTTTATTTTTTTTTTCATTTCTCATTATAATAAATAACTAATGAGTTAATTAAAAAAGGGGTCATTCCTGGACAAAAGGATGGGTGTCCTGACCCAAGGGTTCAGGTGATTAATCCTAGTTTGTGCACCTCCCTTCCCTTCCAAACGAGTGAGTCCTGACCAAGCCAGGGAGAGTTTGGCTCCCACAGATGTCAGGCCCTTTTGTCTCTGCAAGCCTCCAAACCTGTCTAGTATTGTTCCCGGTGTGCCATAAGACAGCAAACACCACCGTAGAGCCCTCTGGATGGTGATAAATTTGGAGATGGGTCATCAGGGAAATAGTTACTTGTCATCCTACTTACCCCTAGCCCATTGCTGGCACTTTGGAAATCATTCACCCTCTGGTAATATTTAGGGTCTTACCTCATGAATAAAACAATGTAAAAAAATGTGAGTAGTGGAAGATGCAAATAAAGGATTCCTTATAAATGCCTATAGCTTCGTGGCACAGAATCTAATCTTTTTCCAGTACATAGGATGTGTTACTTTTATGACACCTTCATTTTATAAACCCCAAACCAGCTTTGGGGTCACAAATCTCTCTCTTGCATTTGGATCTTTAAGAAAAAACTGAACTGCCAGCACTAGACAAATGTTAAGGGTTTTATAACTAGTGTCATAAAAGTAAGTTTATGGTATTGTCAGAAAATGGAGTGTGCTGCATTTTTTACTGGAAGGAGAGCTCAGATTTGCTCTCAGGTCCTCTTCATGTGCCTGTTTGGGGGGCTCCTGCACCTAAATGCTTGTCTGAAACTCTTCCCATCTCTTGCCCCTATGGAGCTGCCCCTCAAGCCCCACCCCCCCCCCCAACCCCAGGCTACAGCTTTGGAAACCTTGTGAATCCCACCCACCTGCTGCAGACCAGGCTGGGGATGACCATGCCCCAAGTGAGGTTCATGTCCTGAATTCAGGAGCTATAAGGAGAAATCCAGCCAAAGAGAGCCTGCTTCTGTGCAGCACAGGCAGCCTGGTAAAGGTGAGGAGGGGATACCCCCAAGGGACATTGCCAGAAACTTCTTAAGCAAAGGGAGGATGACCTCACTTGTAATTTCCGGTTACTCTTTGGTGGCTCTGGCTCCATTTCTGGAGAGTACTTGGTAGTGGAGTGATGTCTAATTGCTACTAAAGTCAAGGAGCTTGGTGTGGAGGGTAACCTCAGAGAGCTGCGATTATTTTTTCCTTGGGAATGCTGCAGATTTTAATGACTTGAAACCAATTTAGGTGGGAAATTGCTTAGCAAGAGGTGATTACTTTTCCACAGTATCAGAACCAGGGAAAGGGATTATGTCATGGTTGCCCCACCTCTGTGACCCTTTCCTTCATGCTGGTGGCCACTCAGACAAGGAGGGGCAGCCCTTTCCAGGCCCTGGTGGAGAGAACAGGAAGGAATTTGTAAGGGGAAGGAAGTTTTATTTATTTACTAAGAACCCACAGCATACAGTTTTTATAACAGACCTGCCTGGCACCCAGTAAGTCTCAATAAATACTGGGTTGTCCCTAAATGAGTCATCTGTTTACTGTTTGACTGAGCAGAGACACATAAATCTGAAATGTATTGGTGCCATCAGTACCATCAGTTGGTTACCCTCCATGGACTTCTCGATGGGAGGGGTAAGGAAAATAACTCCAGGGTCCCTTTCAGGCTTGTCCCTTAATAGCCTTCTCTTAGGAAAGCAACCCTGCTGATCCTCAAGAGGAAAGAAGCTGCCTTCATTTTTCTCAGCCACCTGCTCCTGTCAGACCTGAGCAAAGAGTAGACCAGATGTCAGCAACATTACAGTCCATGGGCTAAATCTTGCCCACTGCCTATTTTTCTAAATGAAGTTTTATTGGGACACAGACACGTTCTTTCATTTACAAACTATCTGTGGTGTCTTTCCTACTACTTCAACAGAGTTGAGTAGTTGTAACAGAGACCATATCGTCTCCAAAGCCTAAAATAGATATGATGTGGTCCTTTACAGAACAAGTTTGAGGACCCCTGGTCTAGAGTAACAGGTGTGCCAGGGATACCACCCCTAGGTCTATGTCATCTAAAAGCACATACACATATCCAGGTACTCATTATCTGGCTCTATATCATCTAAGAGTGCATGAGCACAGCAAGTAAGGAG